TATTTTACTCATAAATATGAAAATGAAACAAATTTATTAGCTTATATACATTGGGTAAGAAATATAGAAATTTTAAGAAATAATATAAAATTATTTCGATATTTTGGAGAAAAGAGTATTATTAATATAACTGCTATTGATTGTTGTATGGGTTTTTTAAAGATAGAAAAAAATAAATATATTATTATAAATAAAGAAAATCAAATAATATTTTAAAATATTTTAAAATATATTTGGTTCGCATAATTTTGCCAAGTTGAAATTAAATTATTTTTTTTATTATTAAAATTTCTAATTTAAATATAAATATAAAATTGGAATATTTCTCTTAGTTTTTTAGAATATACTTTATTATTAAAATTTTTAATTTATATATAAATATAAAATCAGAATATTTCCCTTGGTTTTTCCTGAATAAACATTATTATTAAAATTTTTAATTTATATATAAATATAAAATCGGAATATTTTTCTTAATTTTTTCAGAATATATTTTTTATTAAAATTTTCTAATTTAAATATAAAGTGTTTTTGGAATATTTTCTGAATACTTTTTGTAACAAAAATTTATACAATATTTTAAGATCTTTAATTGGAATATAATCAGAATATTACTAAAATACCTAATTAAAATTGAAATATAATGACTAAAAATTTTTTATAGGGCTATAAGATAAAACTGTAGTTTTATTATTTTTTCTAATAAGTCTGTTTAAGGCAAAAAGGCTAAAACTATCTTTACTTTTACTGAACAAGAAACTAAGCTATGAAATTCACAAAAAATTGCAAATTCCTCCTACAGGTTTTTGAGATATTTCTCAAAAGCTAAATTTGACAACAAAATATCATATGCTTTTAATAGTAATATATCTAAAAAATCATTTTATTTCTTAAAATTTTCAAAGAGGTTTCTTTCATAGTTCTGGAAAGATGCTGAGAGCCAAATCAAGCAATTAATATTATTATCATATGAGTTTGCAACTCATGTTCTAAAACTTTGTATACTAAGCCCTCAGGGCAATTAATATTATTATTACATAGGTTTGCAACTCATGCTCTAAAACTTTGTATACTAAGCCCAAAAGTGGACAAATATAGTTGATTTTACTATTCTAATTTTGTGTAAAGCAATCTACTGCTTTTGACTCTAGGCAGTACCATTGGCTATTGAAATACTCTATCTTTCTTGTTTGATAAATCACTATTTTGTTTATAGTAAACTTACCTCATTTTTCATTTATTAGATCAAACAATTCTTGGGCAAACACCAATCTGATTTATCAAACATATACATTTAATCCTAAAGCTTCTCCTAGTTCTTCTGACTGATTAGTTATAAGATCGATATACTGGTTTTTCTTTTCTAACCGGTGTAAATTAACTTTTTTTACACGAAGGGCAGCTCTAACTCCAAAGTATGTTGGTGGGTTTATTTGTTTAGTTTGATTTATTTCTATATTGTTATTTGATTCCTTAGTAATGTCTGTTTTTTTATTTAAAAATCTTAGAACAGCTAACCAGATCTCTTCTAAAAGCATAGCTTTTAGCTGCTGATCCTTGTCTATTGCCATTTCCTGAATCCATCGCCCAAGAAGTTGAAGAGAAAATTGATTATCATCCGTATGTTTTGCGGCACAAGAGAATTGCACAATGCCTTTTTTTCTTCGTTGAAAAAAATGTCCCCCTTCATTATCAAAACAACGAGAGCAAACGAACTTCGACCGTTTTTGACTCGTGGATGACTTGACAAACTCATCATCTCTCTCAACAAATGCTGCACAAACTTTTAAGCCGGCACAAGGTATACAGATATTTCGTCCGAATACTTTCTATAAATGCTGTGTACAACACCCTCCTCGACTAAAAAAAAATCTATCGGTATTACAATGCATACATTTCCGTTTATGAATCCAGCTTTTATCGATCGAAACTTTATGTTTTGACCCTGATAAATGAAGTTTATTTTGATCAAAATAGAAGTGGTGAGAGCAAACCCCTAAATTATTTAATGCATTGTTTGTTCCAACCTTAATTGCTATATCTAATGTCTGAAAGTCTAATTCCCAAATGCCCATGAGCTGTTTAATTGGTCTATGTGTATTTCTTAAGCAGCGTTGAAAACGTCCTTCCTCATAATCAATAATAACACATTGTTCTTTTTTTTTTTCTTGATTATTAATATCTGAATCACCAACTATTTCATAATCGATTGCATTAATATCATCTGTTGGCAGAGTCCACATGGACTCGACTTCTGATTGTAAATTATCATTTGGTGTTAACCAGTTAATATCGCTTTCGTCTTGCTCTAAATGTTCAATGGTTGATATTACAAAATTTTTCGCATGATTTAGTGCTCTTTCATCAAATGCAAAGTCTCTACTAGCACATTCGTAATCAGTCGTCACACTTTCATCCGTTGTGGTCTTTGGAGTAAATGGAATTTCGGATATATTTTCAAGGTAGCTTGCATTATCATCCAATATCTCATAGTCAATATCGGGGTCATAATACTCAAGACCTTCTCCATAGTCAAACGATTCGTCATTCATAATTTATTGCAGGATTTTTAAAAAGTATAGTAATTAAACTCAAATTTCTTGAAAAAAAAGCGATATAATGTAGCGCCAGTTACTAGAAACAGTGTGTTTGACAAAAGCCGGAGCGTTATTGGAAACCGTGTATCTGATAAAAGCCAGAATGTTATCGTTATTAGGAACAGTGTATTTGACAAAAGCCAGAATGTTATCGCTATTAGGAACAGTGTATCTGACAAAAACCAGAGTTATTATTACAAATGTTGTTTATATATATTTTTAAATGTTTATAACTCAACAAGTATGAATTCATCTGCCAAAACGAACATACGTATGTGTGGGAAATATTTTCTTTGACTTTACATATGCATTGTTACCATTTTTCTTCTTTGACTTTACATACGTATTGTTACCATTTTTTTTCTTTGACTTTATATATGCATTGTTGCCATTTTTCTTATTTGACTTTACATACGCAT